GTCAATTTCTTTCTTTTTGGAGAAATCTAACAGTGTAGTGTATAAGATAAACTACAAATAAATTTTATATGACCTTTCTTAAGAATGCTAGGAAAAATAATTTATGCTAAATTTTCCTTCTGCATATACCATGGATTTTTGCTCTACCATGTAACCCTTCTTTTTTTGGGGGGTGGGGGCGGCAGGCGGGTATTACGGATTGAACCCAGGGGTTCTTAACCACTGAGCTACATCCAATTTTTATTTTGATACAGGGTCTCACTAAGTTCTTTAGGACCTCACTGAACTGCTCAGGCTGGCCTCAAACTTGCAATCCTCAGTCTCCTGAATCACTGGGATTACAAGAGTATATCCCACATTCAGCCTCTACCATGTAACCCTTAAAATAATATGTAATATAATTTTATTCTTCACTATAATTTTATTCTTCACTATAACATGACAAGGACTCCACCCAATCACATTTAAGAACTTAATGGTCCATGACAGTTAACCACATTGCTTTATAATCTATGACACTGAGAGGTACTGGGATATATTGGACTATGGATTAAATTATAAAAAAAAAAAAAACACAAGGTGATAATGTGGGATGTACTTTACCACTTGTTTTGAATTAAACAAAACAATGTTTTGAGATTACTTAATGTTGGCACAGTATATATATCAGCACACGAGGCTTACCATCTTCACCGACCACTGAATAGTTCAATGGAAAACAGAAAGAAATGGTAAATTATTCACATGAAACTATAATACAGAAGATGCAATAACCTATACTTTATAATATTAAAATAAATCATGTACATTTCACAATCCAAACAATTATGCCAGAAAAAAAATTTTAAGCACATTTTGGAAAAACAAATTACTTGCAAAAATAAAAAAAAATAATAAAAAAACATACACTGATGATAATGGGCAGATATTTTCTAAGTTTAACTAAAACTCAAAAATAAATAGTAATCATTCTATCAGTAATCATGCATTTTCTTTTAGAGAGAATTTTTACTTAAGTGAATTTTACTCATATAGCTCTTAATTCTTAAAAATACTAAGCTCTGAAAATAAAAAATCTAAAATTAGCCATTTAAAAAGAAGTCTTATGTGAAATAACTAAAAAACAGAATGCCCAATGCATTAAAGAAAACACCATATCTGGGTTTTTATAGTTCAAAAGATTATTTAAATTTTAAAATATCATGGTTTGGTGAGGGTAACATTTTTATTTTAGTTTTAAGGTGCTTTTTTAAATGTACAGACACTTTAAAAACACATTATCACCACAATAATAAATGAGTTATCCATAATGAAGTTTACTATATATGTTTCCTAACAAACACAAATATATAGATTGAATTTCACTTTGAAAATAGTTTCTATTTTTCAGTTTTATTCTGAAATCCATATGCTTAAAAATAACACTAAAAACATAACTACAATTTTAGCACTTATTCTTTTTAAAATATGAAACAATCTAAAGAGACCCACTACAGTACTCTTAATGCTATGTAAATACCACCCTCAAGCACACACACACACACCAACATATTCTGAGGGTTAAAAGAATTTTGCAACTGGTGTAGTATCCATCATACACAAATACAAAGTGATCCACAATATGCAGCAAATTTTACAAAACTAATCTTCATATTCATTACACTTTAGCTAATAACTCTTAAACTTTTCATTTTTTCTTATTCTCTAACTCATTTTTTTTTTGGGGGGGTGTAACTGGGGATTGAATTCAGAATCTTACTCATGCTATTGTGTACAAGCATTCTGTCACTGAACTACATCCCCAGTCCTTTTCAAAAATTTTATTTTGAGCCAGAGTCTTGCTGTTTCCCAAGCAGACCTTAAACTTGTCATCCTCCTGAGTGGCTGGGATTACAGGTGTATGCCAAGGCAATGGGCAAAACTATGTTTTAAGAGAAGAGAGTGAGATGTCAGCTAAAATTTCACATAAAAAACACAAATTAATTTTAATAAATATCTGGCAAAAATATCTACCCCTTATCTCTGATGAGTTGGCCACATATTAATGGTTATGAAGATAAGAAAAGATGTTTGCTATTCATTATCTTTCTGAATTTAGCTTAACATTCTTTAGACTGTCAGTAGTTTTTTGGTTTTTTTAAAATATTTATTTTTTAGTTGTAGTTGGACACAATACTTTTATTTTATTTATTGTGTATGGTACTGAGGATGGAACCCAGGGCCTTGTACGTGCTAGGAGAGCACTTTACCACTGAGCCACAACCCCAGCCCTGTCAGTAGTTTTAAGAAAGAAAAAACACAATTTATTTTGCTATGGCAAAATTACTGGTGAGGAGGAAAAAAGATTTGTGGTCTTCATTAAATGTCATTAACAAAATTACATATAGGATAAGAAACAAAACTGTTTTAGTATTTTACTTTTTTATAATAATTTTCAACAGCTAAATGTCTAAGTGATGAAGTTGTTTTTCTAATTTCTATAAGAACATCTTTTAGAGAAAACATTAAGATAATTATAGGTAAAAAAAATCTAATGTGTTCATTTTTAACTGGTTTTATTATCAAGTGAAAATAAATTTATACACTGGCTTTAGTGAGGATATAAGAATTTCAATTCTTTGTAAAAATATTAGAAACATATTTTGTGTATTTTTAAAGTAAAATATGTTTAATGCAAAGAAACTATATTCTCATACACAATCATTATATACCTATAAACCAGAAATTTTTATATCCATTACATCTTACTACATACAAAAGAGCTAAAAAGGAAATGGGGTAATTAAATAAATAATTAGGTTTATTTCAATTTAAATTGAACAAACTTTTGAGAACTGCAATCTGAATATTTTAAATCTTAAAAAATAATTCTGGAAGTCTATATTGTCATAAATAATTTAGATGAAAAACAACTCATTATTGCTAGATAATATTACATTTTAAAAAGAGTACTAAATAAAGCTCAAGTGAAGTAGTTAGAGGGTAAAAATGATTAGTTTGTATATTAAGCAGTCAACTTTTGGTGTAGTTCCTAAATGTCCATTAATGGTTAGAACTTGATGTCACAGAGGGCAATTACAGATCTTCACCCTCAGAAAAGATCCATTGGTACCACTGTGGAACTCAGCAACATTAATCAATATTTCTCACATCCTTACTGACACTGAAAACTAAAAACACTAGTTTTCTTTTTTTAAAAAGAAACCCCAGTACTGAAGGGCAGATGAAGGAGGAAAAGAATAAATAAAATTTTTAAAAAATGATTTTTAAAGGAAAAGTTATTTAGGACAACAAAATTCAAGAGAATTCAAAACAAGAGTTTATGAATTCAATGGTACAACTCACTAACTTTAAGAAACCTAAAGGCCTACTGTAAGCTTAACAGACTGAACAATCCATGTAAAAACACAGAAACTGGCTTATTAAAGCTTTAGTTTCTTCCTTTTGCATTTTTGTACATTGACAAAATTTTTAAGTGGTGTAAAAACATTTCTATGGTTAATTTTCAAAATTATATCTAGTAAACTAACAAATACCAATAAAACAAAGAAATTTCTCAACCTCAAATTACAGTATACTTCCCTCCTTGCTCCACTCTCCAATCCCCTAGTTGGTTGGCTTGTCATATTTTCTGTTTTGCATACTGCTTTCTTCTTTGGTATGATAAATAATACTAAAACCAAGAAGAGATTTTTGCCTCTATAAAGACAATGTATAAATATTTTTACTTAAAGCAATATATAAATATAAAACAAAAAAAATCAAGCAAATAGTTTTAAGTTCTGCAGTTATAAAAATCTACCTGCAAACTGTTCAGGAAGAATCAAGATGCCATATATTTAAGCTTTTCTCCCATTTCTAATTTCTTTCATGGACTCATCCTTTATTTCTCTGACACAGAGAGGTAATATGGGAATCAATGTTACCCTCATAATTCAGGCAAAAGAAACTCCAAATAAGATTTCTTCAAGTCTTTTAAACAAGGATTAACAACTTTTGAAAGTGACAACCTGCATGCCTATAAGTATAATACAAATTTTTCCACATGCACTTTTCAAAATGTCACAAATTACCTACCTAATCGTCCACATATAGAATTAGGTAAGGTAGATGTAAAGTAGTTCAAGTCAATGGAAGAAAAAAGGAAGTCAGAAAAAGGAAATAACACATTGGAACATTTCTGCTCCATTACTAACAGTGAGGTTTCTTATGTTATTTTAATGGAAACTGTAAATAATAATGGAATCTTGCCCTGAATAAATAATATATTTGGTTCTACAAGTGACCAAAATGTAATTTGATGTCAGAAAGGGCTACAGAAAGGAAGAAACACCGGGAAGAAAAGAAAAAAGAAAAAAGGAAGGAATCCAACTTTAATATATTAATGTTAATGATCGTACTTCTAATGACACTAAATTATTTCTCACCTGTGGGTTATCATACCTATGTTTTTGAATGTCCACACAAATTTTATAAGTGATCTAAATTATAGGCTATGAATATGTAAAGCACAGCCTAAAAATCAAATATAAATTATACAAGAAAAATAATGGGGTGGAGGAACAGGTCAGTGTTAGAACAAATGCTTATTAGCATGTACAAGGCCCTGGGAGGAAAGATGTGAGCAAAGAAGGAAAGGAAGCTGGGAGACAGGAAGTGAGGCCAGGGAGAGAGGAAAATGAGGGAAGGTGGGAGAATGCAGAAGGGAAGCAGAGAGAAAGAAGGAAAGGAGGAAGGGAAAGAAAAAACCAGCCTCACTAACAAAATGAAATACATTTATCTGTAATAGATAGTTGTTGCTAAGAAACAATTTAATACTGTATCTGCATTTTACTATTTTATAAGTTTTTATTTACAGAATATCATTAGGAATAGGTAAATGTCAAAAGGCTGGCCAATTTTAAAAAAGAATAAAGGGAAAATTCTGATAAAAATTATTTTTTAGATCAGTAAAACAAATTCCATGTACATATTACTTAATAATACCTAAGTACTCTTATAGGGTTTATAATTTACAAAGTTACCTTCTAATATATTAATTTGATCTTTAATCAGTCTTTACATTTAATGTGTCTATCTTTATTTTGTATTAAGTAACTGGAAATTGTGTTTTTGTTTCTAAAAGGGCAATTAAAATTAAGCTTGGCATTTTATTGTCAACAATATATTACTTTATAAAATTGGCAGGTAAAGTCAGAATTAGTGACAAATTATTACATCAGTAACTCCAGTGACAAATTACTGAAAGTCTTAAAAATGTAAATACATTACAAGACAATGGTGAACATATAATTTCACATAAACAAAAAAAAAATAGCTAAAATATGATGGTACCCAGCACCCTCTTTATAACACCATTCTTTTATGGTTGAGCATTTCAAATGTTATAAAGAGGAGTTGTTTTAACTTGAGGGCAGCTATACTTAATTCTGTGGTGTTTTTAAACTATGTCTTTATAGGAGAGAGCCTTATAATGAGGGTGGAGAGTATTAAAAGCCACACTACACACACAATAGGCCATCATGCATTTTAACCCATTATTAAACTTACCCCTCTTTTGAGGCTTCTGAAAGAAGGAATTCTGGGCTTCCCTGTTTTTATTTCATTCATACAATAATGCACGGGCTCAATGGAGAATGTGAGAAACTGGGACCCATTAGGAGTACTGGATGTGAATAAACTAGTAGGGGTTAAGGGTGGGGACTGTGGCTAATATGGAAATAAAGAAAGGAATCAATAAGCCAAATGTGCATAGTTTTTTCCTAAATGAAAATTCTATTTTTGGCAACATACTTTTCACAAAATATACCTTGAATAAATTTTTCTATAAAAATATTATAAGAAAGTAAATTCAGTTTTGCCCAAAATTATAATTTTTAAAAAGTCAAACTTACTTTTAAAATATACCATTTCACTTGATCATTTTTATAAGCTGACAAATTAAAAGTACACAAATTATAATGTTAGAATAATAAGACCTAGATAAAATTCTCTGCTGACTTCTACAATATTCTAGATATATAGAATATTAGCGCCACCATTTATTCCTATGCAGCTTATACTTAACCTGTATAGGGCAAAAGGCAGTATCTATAGCTAAAGATACCATATATATATATAATATTAACTATTCCTGATTATTATCACAAAAAAGCAAAAAGAAAATTATTATATTCACTAGCTTTCCTCTGAGACTGTTTGTATTTCTTCCTTATTTCAACCCTTTTAAATAAACTTCAATATTTCTTACATTTTAAAGCTCTTCTAGCTACTCTGATCTGACAAAAAAAATGTTCTCACCTCTTAACTTCTTGACTGGACAATATTATTAAGAGCATAAATAAAGCCTGGGTTAATTATAATTGTGCTTTAAAATATACTTATAGGCATAGAGTTAAATTTTAGTTACACTTATATACCAAGCTCAAAGGAATAAATTAAAATAATCAAGTAAACATTAATAAATACAGCACATCGGACTAAAGGCATATACCTATTCTCCTTACTGACATGACACTATTAGAATCAATATATAAATAAGAAAGACAAAGCAATTATCCATTCGATTTGCTAATCTAGGTTTACTTGCCTAAAATAAATAACACGTAAAAGGCTAGGCTTTAACACGAAGAGTAAAATTCTCTTAGCTAACTAGAGATTTTTTTTAAACTGTAATTATTCAAGAACACTGAGCTTTTCCCATTAAAAACTCACAGATTAGATAGAGACAATTAGTACAATCTACAAGTTCTAATTTGAAACATTACTGTGGTTAAACATTCATTCCAATTGAGAACTGTGATTTTTGTGATCTTTCAGTTAGATCATATTTCCTTAGAAATTCTGATGGAAACTATACAGAAATAAAATTTCAAAAGCATTTAACTTCAGAGATATTAACAATTCTTATTCACTATTAAGTGGTGGTCAAATGTAAAATCTAGAAATAATTTTTTCAATTTCCTGTAACTGAAAGGTTAACTGAACCATTCCAACTGAAAATATTTACCCTCCATTAATAGTAAATTATTATCCACTCAATACCTACATTGGTTTAATTGACCTACTAAAAAGATCTGATTAGCATATAGGAATTTTATGACTTTTACCTTTGGCTTCTTTCCAAAGAGCCACAATTTGCCCTTGGCCTTTCCTACTGTGGTTTTGGCATCCACTTTCCCACTCTCCTGTTTGGATGCACTGATAGTTCCATCAGAAATGGTTCTATAAATATGCTGACTGTAATCTTCAAATGGAAAGTCTCCTGGAGGTTCAAAGCCAGACTTGAAGGAGTCTACCACCATTTGAGAATCCTATCCATAAAAAAACAAACTTTTTTAACCTTCTTATTTGCTCATAATACATTAACTTTCAAAACTTTAATCAGTACAAGGAAACAAAAAGTTTAAAAAAATAATTATATAGTAATCATCAAAGACTTAAAATTATTCGAATAAAGTCTTCCTGTGAACTGGTAGTAAATCCTAAATATATCCAAAATATACTTACCTGCAAATAAATTATCAACTTATAAAAGTCATAAAATGTTTTCACTCAGTAGCTTTCCCCCTCAAAATTCATCTGATGACTAGTGAGCTAGCTAAGACGATCTAACCAAAGGAACACAGAAAAGAGGCTATTATCAAGTAGAAATTACAAGAAGTTTAAAAGGAAAAAAACCCTTTGCTTTAAGGGATGTCAACAAGAAGTTGAACTTTAGAATGAGGAAAAAGCATCTAACCATAAAAAAAAAAAAAAGTGAGTAGAAAGACTCATTTATCTGGGCTAGGTTTGTGACTAAGTGGTAGAGCTCTTCCCTAGCATGTGTGAGGCCCTGGGTTTGATTCTCAGCACCACATATAAATAAAATAAAGGTCCACTGACAGCTTTAAAAAAAAAAGTTTTTAAAAAAAAGACTCATTCATCTAATGGAGGAAAGATTAAATACATTCTGTGGGATATTAGCAGAGCAATGGGGAAAGATCTCATAATACTGAGTGCAAAAAGCAAGTATGAAAATACAAAGTTAATACTGTTCACCTAAAACTTGAAAATTCATGTGAGTACCATATAACCCTCTAGACATACTTATCTCTATGTGAATGTTTCACTAACGTCTTACTCTCATTTTCAAAGAGAATACCTGGTTCTTCTGCTTCCTGTTTCTGTTAGCAGCATACTTTGCCAGTCATTTAAGTCATTTCCTACTTTTGTAATTAATGTTGCCCTCAATTCACTAAAGGGTAAAAATAAGCAGAGGGCAAGAACAGAAAGTAACTAACTTTGGATCCTGTAATATGAAAATACTGGAATTCCCAATTAAAGAAATAAAAAAATCCTCCTCATTAAATGTAAGCATTCTATTAGTTGCTAGGAAGGATTCTCACTATGCCTACTTGATAAGTTTGATAGGCTTACTGTGAACAATAAAATATGTGGGTACATATCTGATTATCCTCCAAACCTAGTTCTTTTCTCTTGCTTTTTTCCTTGTACTCTGAATTTCTGCTAATCATGCTTTTTGGTTAATCAACATTTACTAAGAAATGATCAGATACTAGATTCAATTACACTACAATCAAGATACAATGCAATGAGGTTTTATTTCCTCAAGGGTAGTAAATTAAGCCATTTCCTCTACTCACAATGCCCTCTTTCCTCTTTCTCATGGATCATTTTTCCCTTTTGTAGTACAAGAAATTGTACTACAAAGTACCAGGGCTTTACACATGCTAGGCAAGTGCTCTACCACTGAGCTATACCCCAAGTCCTTCTTATTTTTGAGATAGGGTCTCACTAAGTTGCCGAGGTTGGCCTTGAACTTTCAATCCTACTGCTTCAGCCTCCTGAGTAGGTGATATTATAGGCATATGCCACCACACCCAGCTTACTCATGTTTCTTGGTTGAGCTTAAGTATAAACTCTTTGTGTTAAAGCCAACTCTGGCAACTCTAAATCTAACCACTTTCTTTCCTAAAATTTCAGTAGACTAACAGTATAATACAACTGTAATACAATTCACAGCTATATTCTTGGGTCAGTACTAAAAAATTAGTGGGGAAAGGAAGAATTTTGGGGAAAAAAACACATCTTTTTAAGTCAGAATTTTAGCAGTTAGAATGATTCTTAGAATCCAAAGAAGCCTAACAAATTGCATAACTTTCTTCCATAGAATATAATTTAGAACAAAATACCTATCAAATTACTTTACTCCTTTCCCAACCCATTTCATTAAACTACATACTTAAGCCAAATACATTTATTCAAAGACAATTATATAGCACTTACTCTTCTTTCATCAACTGATTTTGCTGCAAGAATCATTCCTTCCAAACATTTTGAAATGATAGGAATAACTTTGCGTTCTGAATCTGCAAATCCTCTGTAACACTCACTGAGTTTAATAGTCCTTCGTTCATCCATTTCTTGTAGTTGCTAATAAAAATAAATTTTTAAGGAAAACTGAATTTCTTATTTTGAAGAATTAGTGACCCCCCAAAAAAATATAATTAAAAATTTCTATCCTAATATCTTTTAACAAGTTCTGTTCAGCAATACTTAGTGGAGGGGTGGGGAAGGAGAGGGAAGGAAGCAATAAACAAACAAATCAAGGCTTTTAGTGCATCAAAAAATCAGGTTACAGTGGTTTTCCAGTCTTCTAAAGGTACCCTTTTCTTGCTACCTATTTCCTGTCCCATCTGTCCTTCCTTTAATTCCTTAATCAGATGAGTTTTGTTTTTTTTTCCTGCTTCCATGGAAAGTTCTTCAAAGACAAAATTCTGGCAATGATTTTTTTTTAAAGTAACTAACCTATAATATACACAAGTCTGAGACTTATAACTCCTTAAAATTAGTTCAGAATATTATAGTAACATCTGGTCAGACTAGGCATCCAACAGTTGAATGCATACTAACAGGTACTCAGTCCATATCACAGCCTACAGCTCAGAGTAACTATCAAAGAATTGGGGATACATAAGGAAAAATAAGAAGGCACATGATCAAATGCCACAGGAAATATATTGAAACACATGAAGCCCAATAATTAAAAGGTTTTGGTTTTTTTAAAATACAGTCTTATTTGCCAACACTGACCTTTCTCTTTCCTAATAAGCAGCTGCACTGCTCAAGTTCTCAAACTCCATACTACTATTTCTCTCTTTAATTACTTCACAGAGCCTGGGAGTTTAAGACCAGCATTTTCACAAAAGAATTGCTCCTGGCATCACAAAGTTGCAAGATTGCATCATAGCAAGATCTAAACAAAAGGATGTCAGATTTCGAAACACAAAACGTAGTTTATCCAAGTTAAATTCTTTCCAAAAAATAAAGAGGATAAAAGCATCACAGAGTGATGACGGGTAGGCTTGGTGCTTTGGAATAAATGACCAGAATCTGATACCCAACTCTAACTATGTTTCCTGTGCAATTCCACTTTGACTTCTAGTTAGGCTGACACTCTTCCCATATAAGCTGTGCTCTCCTAGGGATTATCTCATTTGACAGTTTTACTAAATCCCTTTTCTCTAATTTCTCTTCCATCTAGAAAAGGCTAATTTAATCCTCATGAAAAGTCTAGGGTCTTTACCTGTGTAGCAACTGTTATCATTAAATAATGATGGACAGAACTGATAAACAAGCTCAAGGCCTGAATTACAATTATGATCTAACAGAGCCTGAACAACAAATAGGCAGAAACCAGGCTAGTATTTTATAAGACTTGAATACATTTTTAGAAGATTAATTTCTACCACCTGTACTAATGCCAAAGTTTCTAGAGTGGTATCAAAAAGCTACAACATTCTAATTCTATGTGAACATATTACAATACACTTCAAAGAAATTCTTCCTGTGAAGTCAAAATATATAATAATATAGTATTAAAATTTATCTCAAAATGTCATTGTTTTGTGGACTATTTATAACACTAATAAGAAATGTATAGGAAAATTTATACTTTAAAAGTTAGGAAAAATTTACTTTTCAAATATGTAATCATAAAAAAATCTCTTATCACCATTTTTGGTGACTAGTAAATCTACAAACATACTAATCTTAAGTTTTGGGGCTGGGGATGTAGCTCAGTGGCTTACCTAGCCTCCATAAAACTATGGATTTGATCCCCAACACTCTGAAACATGTCCAAAAAAACCTTAAGTTTTACATTTTAAGTCTAACTCTTCAAACTGAAACAGTTAACTTCAAATAGCTAAAATTTACCTTGTATATCTGAGGAATCACTACGTAGAAATGCTTGTGTTGTTCTCCATTAAAGTTTTGTAACTGTGCTGCATATTCATTTTTATTCTCATCAGCCATATGTGTACGCAGGTTCAACTGTTGTTTAGCCTAAAGGTAAATTGGTCCCAATCAATTACCACCAACAATGAAATCATACAATTCACTTTTCTGAAAAATCATACTAAAATCAGATCATATATCTGTGGAGAAGTCAACACTTGATATCAAGATAATAACAAAGTGATCTCTTTCAAATTATTGATATAATTTAAAGGACATGCTTGCAGATTTTATAGTCCGAGTGGTCTCCTAATTGCAAAATCCTCCCTCTTCCTATTGTAATAGTCCTCTTCCCTTGCAATAATCCGTTCAAATGAAGTCTCTTCTTACAAAATCCACATAGAAAACATAAAATGACATAGTTTGAACCAGTATATTTTTAATCGGAAGAGCAAGAAAACAGGTTAATTTCAAAGTGTTTTGGACTATTAAAAAAGTTAAAAATAAAACAATCATTTCTTTATAATACACTTATATCCAATTAAAATATGAAACTAAAATCACAGCTGAAGTAAATAATGATTAAAATGTGTGTAGATTGTTTTTGTTTTTAAGGCAGGCCAGTTTCTCACACCTGCAATCCTAGCTACTCAAGACACTGAGGCAGGAGAATTGCAAGTTTAACCCAGTCTGGGCAACTTAGCAGGACCCCGTCTCAAAAATAAAAACTTAAAGAGACCAAAAAAAAAGGTGGGGGGGAAGCTGGGGATGTAACTCAGAGGTAAAGCACTTGACTAGAATGTGTAAGGCCCTGCGGCCCTGCATTAATTTCTACAGGACAAATACACATAAAAGAAATACAAAAAGAGATTTCTGAATAATGTACTATTGAATAATGATTTTCATCTCAACAAAACCAAAGGTTCTTTAAATAATGCTTATGTAGGATATGATTTTGTTCTTGATTTCTTGTAAAAAGCCAAATTAATATTATCTACATTAATGAAAATATTAGAATATAAACAGGAATTGTTAATACTAGACATACTGGGGGGTTATCTAAATTTCTCAACTGTTCTAAAATAACAGGGGGAAAAAAAGTAAGAATTGAGCTTAATTTTTTCTTTTCAGTTTTCTAAGGAGTGAATCATTTTACATGGGAGGGCTCTGTAAACTGTAGAGCACACTGTAAACATATCTCACTATTCTCATTCCAGATTCTACAGAGGTAGTCTCTGACCTTCTAATACTTGTGTATAGTTAGACCTTCTTCACTCAGAAACAAACTAACCTATGGAAATAACTTGAGATCTCAGATAAGCCCTTTATGAGTCACTTAATCCAAAATATACTTAAAAATTCCAATAAATAAGTATCATGGAGACTAAAAACTATAGCTCAAAGTGTTTCTATAAATTTGTTTTTTAATTCCAACATGGAACCCTAAGTACATATTCATTTGCTCCTTCCCCTTTCTCTTTTTACCACAAACCATGGTGAGACAGAGGATTCCAAATTCCCTACCCACACAACCTCATAGTTCTGTCAGGGAAATTCCTCCAGTTCTAAGTCACTAGCTATTATTCCTAAGATCTGGGACTGAGGCTCCAGCAGGTATACAGGAGAACAAGGCTAGGAGCTAAAACAAATAGACTCCCCACCCCCTGCTGCCACTTTTAAAAAAAAATTTTTTTTTGTAGTTGTAGATGAACAATACCTTTATTTTATTTGTTTTTATTTTTATGTGATGCTAAGGATCAAACCCACTGCCTCACATGTGCTAAGTGCTCTGCCACTGAGTTACAGCCCCAGCCCCCTATTTTTTTAATAATTAAAGAAACTGCAAATAAATGAGCATAAAAAAGGAAACTGCAAACACTGAAATTCTAAATTAGAGGCCAAACTAGTAGACATGTTGTATATAAATTTCAGGATGTTTGACTAATCACTGAAATTATCACTGTAGACAAAATGAAGAAGCTAAATGAAAGTGCATACAACAAGTAACTTTAAACTTGCCCAGTACATAAAAATTCAAGCAATATTGATAATGGGTCAATGGAGTTCTTAAGGAGTTAATGTCAAATGGCAAGAAGTCTCCCATGCATAAAAACAGTGCTTTTTCAGAGCTAGAGTTGTGGCTCAGAGGTAGAGTGCTCACCTAGCATGTGTGAGGCACTAGGTTCGATCCTCAGCACCACATGAAAGTAAAATAAAAATATTAGATCCACCTATAACTAAAAAATATTTAAAAAATAGTGCTTTTTCAATTTTTGTGGCTCATATTTTCAAGTAATGATAACATACTGATCAATTATGTGCATTACATAATTCTGGAATAGAAATTAATATAGATGATCAAAATCAGAATATGAAAACCGTAATAGCAGGATCAAATCTAATGATTAGTAAGAAGTACATATGAATTTAAAATACTAACAGTATAAGCTGTATCTAAGAAAAAGACATTCTTATCTGCACATGTAAAAAGATGGATGGATTTCAGATAACCATAAACTCAATTGGAGTCAATCCAAACAACATGGCTGCACAAGTCCATATGCATTTATGTTATATTAACATAAATTTAATGCTCAGACAAGGGAGGTTGTCAAATGCAGGATTGATCAGATCATTCAATTTCAGAAAACTACTTTATGTGAGATATTGATAAACTGAAAGGCATCCAAAGGAAAGTAATCATAATAAAAGGTACCTCAACACAACTTCGTATGTGGAATAGTTGAAGAAATGATTGTTCATCTACTATAAATATCTAAAAAGCTTTCATGAAAAAGATAGATTTGATATTTTTGTATAATATCTCAGAAACCTAAAACAGAGACATGAGTGGAGCCAGTACAAGGAAATGCTAAAGTAGAAAACCCAAGAGCAGACTTACCTGGAGACTGTACATTTCCAATGACAAGGTACTTACTATTATTAGACGTATAAGTTATTAAAAATAAGGTGGAAAATATAGAAACATCCCGAGTTATACTAGTAAGGCAATTGTAACCTAGAATTTATATGAATTTATGGGTTTTTGTTTTTGTTTTTTTAGTTGAAAAGAAAATGAAAGGTAGAAATAAATTGTTCCTCTTTTCCTTCTTCCTTTTTCTCTCTCCGTTTCTTTAGGAAATCAGAAACTTCAAAGGAGAAAATATATTAAAGGTGGTCCTTCAGTATACACGACAATATGAAGTAATGGCATTCATTTATATTTCAAAAATCCTAATATTTCAGTATTATCATTGTGTCAAATGTACTAAGATAAAAAGCATATAAGAATGGGGAAGGATGAGGCTGGGATTGTGGCTCAGCGGTAGAGTGCTCGCCTAACAAGTGTGAGGCCCTGGATTTGATCCTCAGCATCACATAAAAATAAATACATAAAGGTTTTGTGTCCAACTACAACTAAAAAATAAATATAAAAAAGAGAATGGGGAAGGGAGGGCTGGGATTGTGGCTCAATGATAAGAGCACTTGCCTCGCACATGTGAGGTACTGGGTTCAATCCTCAGCACCACATAAAAATAAATCAATAAACATACTGTGTCCATCTACAACTTAAAAAAAAAATGGGGAAAGCTTAGCAGCAGCAATTACAGGGCTAATTCTAACAACAAGTTATGCTATAAAACATCTGGCCCAGAAATCAGTAATAAGATGTTCAGTTTTCCAAAGTGAATCTACTTGGGAAAGCTACTATTATGTATTTCTGATAGTATTATCATGTTTTTTCTTCTTTTTCTTTATCATGAGTAGTTGGCAAAGAACACTACTCAACCCTTTTTACATACTCCATCAATATACCTCGGACTTTTATCCTGCTTAAGAATAGGACAGAAACTGAAACCCAGTAGCAATGTCTTTCCTCTGCAATTTGAATGCAGCAAAGACATTTTACTAAATTAACATATTACCTTATTACCTTCTCAGACCAATATGTATGATAATATTTACTTACTTTAGGTTCATATTTAGCATCTTTCTTGAGAAATTTCTAACACAGACACAAACAGTATGACTTCTTTATACAAAAGTATTATTTTGACGTTAAAGCTAGAGTGTATTATTTCTTACCTTTTCAACATCTGCCTTGGTTGCATTAGTATCATTATCCAATCTTTCATAGCTCTGTTGTGCTTTCTCTGCCTCTCTACATTCTCTTTCAAATTTCTTTTTACTCTATTAAAAAATAAATGAAATCAAAATTAACACTAAGAATATTAGATTTATCTCATTTAAGAAATAACTTTAAAATGTTGCCACTGTGTATTGTAGAAAAGAACCGCACACTAAAAGTAAAATTGTCCTTTATTATAACATGTGAGCCTTAAATATCAGACATTAATTATAGACTGTGAAGAAAAAAAATATAAGCATGATTCAGTTGGTATTTATTATATAACTCATCTCCTATCAATTAAAAAACCATGTATTTTATATATTTTTATTGTAAGCTCATCTTCAACAGATTCCTTTTTGGTTTGTTGTTTTTTGCTTTATTGGTTCATTTTGGTGTTTGCTTTCATGGTGGGACACTAACATAACTTGAGAAATAGAAGTGTACCTCCAAAGTGGCTTTGTGTTATGTCTGGTGTCCCAGCAATACTATCATCCCAGACCTAGATCTTCTAAAAATTTTTTATATAATTCAAAATTACTAAAACTTTGTAAAAGCTATTCACAACTAAGCTATGTAATATATACAATTTGCTTAGTTTTCAAAGCATATAGCTTCAATTTAACCTGATGCTTCCCCCAGTTGATTAAGTCTCAACAGTTAATTCTAACACATTAAGATTCCTATTCATTTTATTCTCTTATTAAATATCTCCCAAAGGTTTCCAAACTGCTTGAACTGGTTGTCAGCTAGGACTAACACATAGTTGCTTCCTTGGGATTTCCCTCCCCATATCTTCTGTATTCCCTGCACCTCTCTCTTATCCTGATCTCCTAAGTTCCATGCTTTCTCCTTTCTAGAATCATTTCCTCATTTACTAGAGTACATTCAGCAAAAGTTTCCTGGAAATGTTTATGAGAGATAATTTTTCGAGTTTCCATAACTAAAAATGCCTTTATCATTACTTTTAAATGATAAAATAAGGCTAAACTCTTTCTTAGAAACTGTTTTCTTTCAGAAATGTAGAAGAACTACTCCACTATTTTCTGGTTTCCTGCGTGACTATCTAATCCCATTCTGGTTCCTAATTAATAATAATAATAATCATAATTTTTTTTGTCTGATGAGTGGGATTTTCTTCTCCTTATGTTCTGATATTTTGTGAAGATAGGTTTCGACATTGACCCATTGTGCTGGGCAGCTAGGAAATCCTAAAAATCATGTATCTCAGATTGGGGATATAGGCTCAGTTGGTAGAGTACTTCCCTTGCATTCACAAGGCCCTGGGTTCAATCCCCAACACAAACAAACAAATAAACAAACAAACAAACAATAGAATATTTTTTAGAAAATCATGTCTATCAATTTGGAGAACATTTTCTTGACTTATTTTTGCCCATTTTCTGTGTTTTTTTCCTAGATAAATCCTCTAAATGTATTATATTTTCTTCTACATTTTAACCCTCTACCATTCTGCTTTATTTTCTGAGAGAGATTTCTTCAGTCTTACCTGTAGTTCTTCCTACAGGGTTTTGCACATCTTTGCTATCATAAAGTTATTTTTTTAATTTTAATGAGTTCCTTTTTTAATAGTACTTTGTCTTTATTTCATGAATGCAATGGGAGTGCAGGGGTTAGCAGAGATTGAACTAAGGGGTGTTCAGCCACTGAGCTACATCCCAGCCCTTTTTATTGTTTGAGATAGGATCTCACTAAGTTGCCCAGGCTGACCTGGAACTTGGGATCCTCTTGCCTCAACCTCCTGAATTACTGTAATTACAGGCACATATAACCGTGGCCGACTTCCTTATCTGTTTTAAGTATTTTAATTTTCACTTCCTTTCATAGTCACCGTTTCTTCTAAGTTCTTTTTCCTACAGAGTTTGGGTCTCTGATGTACACTTTGGCTATTTCCTTTAAATGCCTGGGGATTTTTGGCTATATGCTTCTTTTTAAAAAGCCAACTGAAAGTTCTACACAGATGGTCTTTCCCACTACGGTAAAATAGTCAGGTAGTTTCCTTAGGAAAAACCTGATATCAATATCAGTAAGTTTTTGTTTTAGTTTTTCCCCTCTAGCTGGTTGATTCTCCAGAGAAGGCCTCTTCCAATTTCTTGCCTGAAAAATAAATGCCTTGCTTAATTGTATTCTGAGGTACTCAAAAGAAAGCAAGAAATCTCACCATTTTGTATTGACCTAATCTACTTTGTAGAACCACTTAAATGTTTTGTTTTGGAGTCTATGGATCCCAAAACATTATAAACAGTGAAAACTTGAATCCCAAACCTCATGACTACAAGATCAAAGGGTTTAAATTTCTCACAGAATACTTCCCCTCCTTTGATTTTCAGAGATAAGTTTTTTCTTAGTTAGTGGGCAGAGATCTTTTTAGACCATCTTTCACTAATCCTTTCACAAGTCCTTCAGAAGTTCAAATCCCCTTCCTGCCTTTACTTTGCAGTACTAGTGTTGAACCCAGGAGTGCTTACCACTGAGCTATATTCCCAACCTTTATTATTTTTTTGAGACAGAGTCTCACTAAATTGCTAAGTCTGACCCCAAATTTGTGGCCCTTCTGTCTCAGCCTTTACAGGGGTGTGCCCCCACACCTGGCAGAGATTCCCCTTTCTTAAAACACAATTTTTAAAAATGACTATTAGATCTAGGAATTTGTAGCTAAAAGGTTTCATACTTGGCTCAGTTTGACATAGTTTAAAACATGACATAACCTATAATTTACATCAAATTAATATGTTCCAAAAATTTTTACAAAATTCTTTAAATGTAGGCCTTAGTTAGTGTTTTGATTAGTATGAGACCCCCAAATGATATACCTACAATTTATCCAAAGCACATAAAAACATCTGGTTGTGCACAATAAGCAGAATGTCACTTCTCTATGAAAACTGATTAAATTTCCATATTTAATTCTCTGAAATTCAGTTCGGAGCTGTTTTTCCAAATTGAGTAACTATGGCCTACTAAATTTTGGTGCAAACTGAGGTTACTGGTATACAAAAGGTTTTTTTTTTATATTAAGTGTCTTATCTGTGGAAAAATATATAATATTTCTTACAACATCAAAACATTCACTAGTACAACCATAGTATTAAAAATACCTTCCCTGAAAGGTAGTATATCATAATATAGGACCGTACTCCAGAAAAGATTGTTCATTACATTTTGTGACAGACTTAAAACAGTCACTTCTACTCCTCTACCCTGACAGAAAGTACATTCCAATACAAAGGTCAAAAATAGCTGTCCTTCTATCCCAGTCTCCCCACTGCTAAGGCATGGACATGTAAATTAATCTTGTCAAAGGCACCCAAGAGGAAGTGTGCTGGGGGTTTTCTAGAGGTTTTACTTCCCTGACAAAAAAGGGGCAGTTGGAAAAAAAAAAAAATGCTCCCTTTCTCATGTCTCTGGGTGCACATTCAAAGAGAATATGGTGTTTGGTTGCTTAAATCAACTGTTGACCATAAAGGAACAAGGCTGAAGAGTCCATGTGGTTAAGATGACAAAGTGGACAGACAGGGAGGACATGCAGCCTTGGTGACAATATGAACTACTGACCAACTCTGGAACTGCTCCATAAACGTCTATTCTCTCTTATTAGAAGCCGCCTAAATGATGGACTTGGCATCTCTGAAACTTTATTTTCTTAATCTCTAACCTTATTCCTTCAAGATGTTCTCACGGGCTACTCTCTTCTGTCCTTTCTTAAATTCCAATGCTGCCTATTTTGTTTCTTCCAGGGTCAACAATTGCTTTTTAATTTTTTCCCCTCAATTTTCAATATTGTCAGTAATTCAACCTATTTTCCCCAGTTCTTTTTGTCTCTTGATTATATCAAATAGGTTAGAAATTCTACAACTTCATTTTCTTAACTAAACAGAAAGATCCAGAAATAGAAAACAGAACATACTATACTTGGTGCTATGTATTAAACAAATTATAATTTCTCCGTTTCCTTTACTGGACTGAAGGTTCCACAAAAATAAGAACCATGCCATAGCCACTTTTGCTCATCCAAAACCTTGTACAAGTAACGGATGTCTGATAAACACAAGGAGGGTTAAAATCACTTTTATATAGTATATTCCTAAAAAAATAATAAAATAATAATAATAATCAAATTTAAAGAATGCCTTGAAGATATCTCTCCTATACTTTTTATGCGTCTTTCATATTTATGACCTCTATAACCTTGTCTTAAAGGCAAGTCAGCAAATATTATCAACAATGATTTATGCTAACACAACTTTTTAAAGGATCCAATATCCACTGAGTGTAGGAGTCTATTATACATACACACACATTCATTAGGTAGCATTACACTAAGGATGCTAGTAAAAGGAGTTTAAAATTTAATCAATGAAAACACTCCCTAAACGTCTTGCTGAAGGCAATCAGGAAGAAAATCAAAACAAAAATGAAAATAGACTACTAATATATCTAAGAATTCTCAATCAGCACTGTTGATAGATTTTTTTGTTATCAGTGACAGTTACATGGTAGAAATTAATGTAAGCTTTGAAAGTGCATTTTTAAAAGCAAAAGAAAGGGGCTATGGCTGTAGCTCAACAGTAAAGTGCCTGCTAATAAGCATGAGGCCCTGGATTCAACCTATAGCACTACAAAAACAAACCAAAAACCATAAAAGGAAAGAAAAACAGAACATACCACAAATATACACATGAATTTTTAAAATCTTGATCTTAAAGTCCTTTTTCTAACAACCACAGACAAAACAGATTAACTTAATATGATGAACTTCCTTCGGCATAATTCTCAAATATAGCATTCATCATAAAAATATGCTGGTAAAGATTAAACTGCTTGATAACTTGAAGGATCAAATAAAATATGCTATAAAACATCATTGAATACTGTACTGTAAGTCAGCTATAGTGTTTCATGTAGACATCTTGTTTTTCAAATTACTGTAAATCAGAAACCTTAAGAAAAACCACATTAGTGAGTACCTTGGAAAAATTTATAAATTATTATGCTTTCATAATTTTTCCCTTAAAGTATCTTTCCCCCATAATATGATATTTACTTATCAGTAGCCCAATATTAAGAGCATTTACAGAATCACTTAACTGAAAGAAACACTCACATAATTTAGTTTACTCTCTTCATTTTTTCATATGTTAAAAATAAGTTAAAACCTAAACAGACCAATAACAATAGAGGAAATAGAAGAAACCATCAAAAGACTACCAACTAAGAAAAGC